AGGGGGCGAGCTTGATTGACAGGGGCGGGGGGCGGGGCTACTCCACAACAAGCCCTCCCAAATCCCTCCAGTCAGGGAAGGGGGCTCTTAGGACACCCCCACAGTAAGTGTGTGTGTGAGAGAGATAGTGTGTTAGTGTGACTGTGTGAGTGTGTGTGTGTGAAGTGTGCCACTTCCTCCCCCCCCAATTGCATGAGGTCCCTTAAACCCAATGACAGGGAAGGGGGCGCCCTCTTGGTGGGAGGGGGGCAGCCCCATGGGACACCCCCCCTCGTTGGTGAGTCCCCGACTAGAGGTTTCCTGAGGGGATTTTGCCTTCTGCGGGCGTCTCGCCTTCCTTCCCCTGTTCGGTATGCACAACAACCCTGTGAGGGAGGCCAGGAGGAAGGACAGGGGCTGACCAGCTGGGCCCACTGGGGTCGGGGGGGGGCTGAGCCAGCCCTCCGGCCAGTCCAAACCTCTCCGGAGGCCCTGAAACCCCCCCACACACACACACACATATACACACCATCTTGGCAGGGACCCAAACATGGGTGCCGATGTGGGTCCCCATTTTTAACGCGTCATTTGTTGGACTCTTTTATTATCGTGCGATATGTGTCATTTCTGGTTTTGCCTTTTAATGACTTCAGATGCCTCGGGTAAAGATAGATATAGTATTTTGAATTAAGTAAATAATATAAGCAGCTTAAAAGCGTTTTTAAGATTTTAAATTATTTGTCGGTACACAGCTTGAGGAGAACGGAGCCCGCTCTGCCTGTCTGCTACAGGCCGGCAACACAATACCCACAGAGGTGTATTTGTGTAGAGAACAGGAAATCACAAAGAGTTGTAGCCCACAAATCAAGAACCAGGGCGTTTCTGTACAAAACTTCATTGTACTTCAGTGCCTGTGCACAGGACTTAGTGGCCGCCATACAAACTTCCTGGTTTAAGCTGTTCTTTTTCCTTTTTTAATATGTGTCAATCCAATACAGGGGGTGAAATTCTGTTGCTTAGTGCACTATAGTAGATCCATTGAATCAGTGGAACTGATACTAGCCCGGCTTTTCTCCCCTTCTGGTTCAACTTCCTGGTCTAATGCCTCTCACATGATGGCTCATAAAGTAGCAACTAACGACGCATCGTGATGGCATCTCGTTTGCCTTTGGCATCTAGAAGTTGATGCTGTTTTTCCCTCTTCTGTTTCAGTCTTCCACCGTCTGTAACAATTGGGGATAAAAATCGTACCTCCTGGTTCCGTTTTCCCTGTGGTGCTCTGCGTTTATTTATTTCAAATATTTTTACTTCACTTTTCTCCCTAGAAAAGAGACACGGCAGCTCATTAAAAGACCGTATGTAAATCTAGCAGGGAGTATACAAAACTGCAGAGTCGGTCTCTCCTTTAAAAAAAAAAAATTATTTCATTATTTGTTTTAAGAAACCGCCGCACTTGGGTGAGCAACTCTTATCAACTTTTTTCCTTTCCACTTTTTGGAATGTTCTGGATTTTGTGGCTGTTTTTAATGGCCAGACTGATTTTGGATTCATTCCCCAGGCAAAAAGAAAAGAAACACTGACTGAACCAGATGTGGTACTTCTGTCCACAAGTACATTATTTTTGGACAGATAGTTTAAGGAAATAGAGATCAACAGTATTTAGAGCCTCTGTTTTCTGCAGCCTCATAATTGCCCTGGAGAGGAGCTGATACCTCTCAAACATAAAAACAATGTATTCTCTTTTGCCTTATTGCGAGAAAGTTTATTGCTTCTAAACAGGAAATGCTGTGCTTTTAACAAATAAAGACTTTCCGACTTCTAATGCCATGGGGGAAAAGATTCCATACCTGGTATACGGAGCTTTTCAGAGTGTTTGCGATTTGATTGCTTGAGATCTGTAGGTTACTTTATGAAAACTTAGTAACAGAACTAGTGTTTGAAAGGAGGAGGAAGAGAAAACATTTTGGGGAGGGGGGAAGAGGAAGACCCATGACTTACATTGTATATGTAGCTATAGATTTTTCCTTTTACAATATGTCTGCTTTAATAATGTATTTTTAGTTTTTTTTTTCTATTTGCTTTAAACTTTTGGGACTATTGTATATATTAAAATAGAACTGGAAGTTGCACGGTTTCCTCCATATACAGCATCTGTGGTTTGGATTTACTTTTCAGTGTGCTGTCTCAGTGTCAGAATTCTGTGCGCAAAAGTCTCTTGATGTAGCTCCATGGATGAAGCGGTTGAATGTCAAAAAAGGTCACTTGTCTTCTCAGTCATAATGTTACTTGACGCCTTATCCTTAACTTGAACTACAGAACATCTCTTTAACCTGAAGTTTGCTGCCAAACAGCTTAGCAGAAATGCCAAAAGGTGTGGTAAAAAGAAAAGGTTGAAAAGGCCAAAATTAAGAAGGTGAGAATGTTGAACAAACCTGTGTGTTTCATCTGTTTTCTATATAACAATGAGCAAACAAGGTCTTCTCTAGTAACTTTACGTAAGTGTACACAAGCAGACTCTGTTAAGGGACAGTAATAGTGGAGATACTGTTTCTGGCTATGATGTACTAACTTTTAAAAGCTAGACACATTAGCTTAGTTTCTCAGGCTAGGCTAAAATATTGTCTGCACAACCCAAATATATTTGGACAGTGGCTGAGAATTAATCCTGTTTAAGGGTCCAAAGTAGCTTTCTAAGTGGGTTTGGCCAGGGGAAGAGTTGAGTTTTGTGAGTTCTAACCAAAAGACAAATCACTGGCCAGAGGTTCTTTAAATCAACCACTTCAGTGATCAGATCCACTCAAGTGTATCACTTCTGAACTCCACGAGTGTTTCCAGGACTGTTGTGAACTTGGATGCTGCTTAAAGATGGGTACAAACTGCTGGTTTGATGGTTCGTGCTGGTTTGTTTATTGGCCAAACAGGCTTTTGGTGCTTCCCACTCAGAGGGGTGCCTGGAGGAGGTGGAGCATGGAAGCTGGGCGGCTACCTCCAAGTAAGCACCATTCAGAGGAAGTGAATGGCAGATGAACCAGCCTGCCGATAAACGAACCGCCAAACCAGCGGTGTGTGCCCATCTCTTATCCTCCTGCTGTTTTGTGTATCATTGGTCACCTTAGTTGGCTGACTGTCAGGCTTTGCCAGGAGTGGGCAAAGTGCTGGGTTTTTCCCATTCCTTGCCTTTGATTGTGCTGGCTAGGGCTGACAATAGCATCTGGAAGGCTACACTTTGCCCAGCCCAGCCTGCACTGCCATCTAGTTTATAGCCATGTGTGCACCTGAAGCTGTCTTATCGTTCGAAAGCCAGCAGCTGTTCTAGTGTCACATCACTAAAGTTGTTGACAAGCTGTGTTCTTCTCCTTAAAAGGCAATTCAGAAGGGCAATACGGAGGTTGCGAGGATACATGCTGAGAACGCGATCCGGCAGAAGAACCAAGCCATCAACTTCCTCCGCATGAGCGCCCGGGTGGATGCTGTCGCAGCGAGAGTTCAGACAGCGGTCACCATGGGCAAGGTCAGCAGCTCTCCTGTGTTCCTGCAGGCAGCATTTTTGGAGCTATAGCTCACGAGTTGAGTAGTGACTCTGTATGCCGAGGTCCTTGGTTCAGTCTGTTTGTGGGGCTTTAAAAGTTCGAGAACGATTGTTAGTTATGGCACATCACCAAGCTCTGTGGATCGGTGGCTGGAGCTTGTACAAGGCAACTTTCTAAGTTTTGAGGCTAACGTGCCATAGATCCACAGGGTTTCCAGAGTTTATGATCGAAATCTGTGGGATTTCACATGTTCACCTTACTGTCTTAGAGAATTTTCCCACCCCAAGTCTCTTTAAGAAGCAGCTACTCAAGATAGGGCAATCACTGGCAGTGATTTTATTTCTGTCTTGGTTTTTCATTTAATGTAAATAAAGGTGTGTTTACCATGTATGTTTTTTTCCTCCCTAGGTTACAAAGTCAATGGCCGGAGTAGTTAAATCTATGGACGCTACCTTGAAAAGTATGAACTTAGAAAAGGTAAACTCACAAACTGGGGTGTTTAATTCTTCCCTGACCTTATTAATCATGCACCTTTTATCTTGTTCATTTTTTGGTTTAACCCTGTCTGCGTCTCTACAGATCTCTGCCTTGATGGACAAATTTGAGCAGCAGTTTGAAACCTTAGATGTTCAGACGGCACAGATGGAAGACACAATGAGCAGTACGACTACACTGACAACCCCGCAGGTAAGCCTCTGTTCCGGCAGAGTCACTTGCCAGGAACTTGCCGGTTTTGTCCAGCTGCCTCCCAGAACCAGTTCGTACATTACAGATGGTCTCTCTTTCTCGATCCTTGTGAGAGAGGCTTTCAGAGAAAAAAGCTGGCCGGACCAAGAGCAGAGCTTGGAGACTTACTTTTTTGAATGAGAATTGCTAGAATTCCCCAGACAGTTTGGCTGATGGTCATTCTGGCTTTGGAAGTCAGGGATTTATTGGGGTTTTTTTTAAGTGTATCTTTTTTTAGTCTCTGAATCTAAGAAATTCCTCTTTCTTCCATCCCAGAGCTGGACAGTTTCTGTGTGAACCAGATAGTGAAACACTATCAAAAGAATATAGTGTTTTTTAAACTGTCTGGAGGACCTTGAGCTGCTTTGGATATTTCTCCTAAGATTTAGCAGTGGGCAAACGAGAAATGGCAGCAGACTTTGCTTGAAAGGCAACTTGCTCACCATTGTTGATTCTGATCCTTAGGTAGCCGCCAGGGTCTCTGGTGTGGCTGAAAAGGGCCGGTCTGCCATTGCGTCTCATCGAAATATTTTCCTATATATCCCATGACCCTAGAATGTGTCCCAGAAACTTCTGTGCTGCATAAGGGAATTTCATTCATTTCAAATGAGCAATCGTTTGCTGTGTGGGTGTGGTAGATCCTTCCGGTGCACAAAGTTGAAAGCGTCGCTTCAGTTGCTTTGCATTTCTGTGTTACATTTTGGACTGACTTAATCCTCTTTTTTTCCCCCTCCCCTAGAACCAAGTGGATCTGCTCCTGCAAGAAATGGCCGACGAAGCTGGGTGAGTGGGTGCAAGGCTGAGATTATGGGTACTCAAATGACGTTTTGCCCTTGAGGAGGCAACACTTGCAAGGCTTTCTCTGGTGCAGTAAGAAGACTGTAAACAATGTGGTAGACTCATGACAGTGTCGCACTGTGTTTTTTTTAAAAAGCCTTTGCCCCTTATCCTCCTACTGGGAAACCTAGGGGTGTCACAGATGCTCCCGAACTTTCATTCCCACCAGCTTCAGGGTGGAAGGATGATGAGAATAACAGTCCGGGAATGTGCAGAGGACCAAAATTCCTCACCCCTGTAGAAAGAGAATACCTAAGCCATGACCTCCGCAGTGAGGTGAACTTGTGGATTGGAAGATAAGGCGGTAAGTGGATTTGTCTTGACTCAGCATCTAATTGTCTTTCATCTTCCTCCTTTTGCACAACTAGCCTTGACCTGAACATGGAACTACCTCAAGGACAAACAGGTTCGGTTGGTACAAGTGTGGCATCAACAGAACAGGTAGGCTTTTTTTAAAAAAAAAACTCCTTTGCTATATCTTCCCCTGCTCTCATAAAAAAACAAATAAACCTGTTTTTCATTTGTTGTAAGACTGCCTAGAATAGTGCACTGCACTAATGGGGTGGTATAGAAATTAAATAAATAAATAAATAAAATATTTATTTCTGGGTTTTTCCCCCTTTTACCATGCTGTGTATAGCATTTGCTATTGTCTGCAGTTTTCAGCATCTTGGGGTGGGGGGGCTTGGAACCAATCCCCCATGGATATGGGGGGGTCCTACTGTATATGGCAACAGCCCAGAAAGAAAAAGAAACGAGGGTACGAAGTGTTAAGATACTAAATCCCTACCTATGGAAGTATATTCTTGAAGGCCATTTTTGACAAGTTCTGCCTTGGCTAGTTTTCTAAATATTTGGACCCACCTCTAATGGAAATTCACTTATAAATTTAGAAGCCCAGTTTAGAGTTCTATTTGTAGTTAAGAGGTGGTGCTATGCCTTTTGCTGGGCCCAGCCTCTCTTTTCTTCAGCTGTTGGTATGGTAGAGTTATAAGGCTTGCTTTCCTTTCGCAGTACATTGATTGTATGTCTTGGTTGTTTTGAATTCTGCAGGACGAGCTCTCTCAAAGACTTGCACGCCTTCGTGATCAAGTGTAACAGAAAGCACTGGATCTGCCGTCTTCGGTGTTTGCTTCCAAAGCATTGTGTACATAAATCAGAGCCTAACCAGGACTTCCCTCTGTGATCTGCTTAGATATTTAAAGAGAAAACTAATGAACCTTTATCTCTCCTTTCTTCCCTTGCCGCTCTTTCTATAAACCATGTTGTCTCGATGGTTGTGTGTCCTTTGGTGTATTTTTAAGAATCCTGCAGAGTACCTTTTTGAAACTGAGGATTATTTTTTGCAAAGATTCAGATTAACATTTCAGTCTTATGAAGTATCACATATCAGACTGAGAAGAGAGCAGCATTTTAAGCATATATAACCTTAAATTATGCAGCAGGGTTTTAAATTATGAATAATATCTACATCTGAGTAACTGAGATGGGGCGTCCTGTTCACTCTCGATTGTCAGATTTAATTCTCTCACTTCTTGAAGGCCAGGAGCAGTTGGACAGAATACGTTGTTCGTGTGTATTAAGTATTGTTTAAATATTCACTGGTAAACTTTCCTATATGTTATAAAACAACAAGTCAGACTTAAATCAAAACAATAGTTGTTATGCTGTCCTCATTCTTGAAAGCTGGCTTCCATCAACTTCAGTGCTAACGGAATAAAATATATTTTTCAATAATTTACCCTAGCTGTCCGTGAAATACATATGGCAATTAGGAACGCTTCTTCAAAAAAACAGTTAAATTTCAGGAATGCTATTTAAAAGCCCATTAAAATCCCAAAAAAGTTGGGATGTATTGTGGCAAAATGGCAGTTACTCTGGGAAGGAATATGGGATTACCCTGATATACTTTTCCCTTAATAAAATATTATGAACTTTTTTCCAGGCCTTGGCTATATAAGTAATCTAATGGCTGCTGTCATATTGGACACAGATTCTCTAATGGCCCAGTCCCTTAACCTGTCCTCAAATGTTGACCAAAGTGCTATTTTAAGGAGTGCCATTAAATTTAAATTATTTCATTTATTTCCTTAAGCACAAATGAAACAATCCTTAGGGCTCTTTAGTTTGTAGCCAATATATTAAGATTCTTACCAAATCCCAGTAGGGCCCAACATTTATAAAGAAGACCATTTCCATGGCAGACTATGGGTCTTATTCTTTTATCCTCGTCCACCATAGGTAAGGCGAGTCTCACTGTAGATAATGACATTGGACCATCATCCCGGCATTCCTTCACCTTGGCTGGGCTGCTTAGGGATCTGGGGCATTACAGTCTGACAACACATGGAGACAAACTCTTTGCTCATCCTTGTGAATCCACCAGGGCATGCTACCCCCATTCCTCAGGCTTCACAAGAACTCTTTGCGGTAGGCAATGATAGGAGATGATGAGTAGCCCAAACATGGGGATTTACTGGGTACTTGCTCCTTGATTTGTCCAGCCCTGGCCTGATACTGATTTGGGGGTGGTGGTTTATAGATATGGTTTTTTCGGGCTCTTTGGGCGTGTTCTGAAGGTTGTTCTTCCTAACGTTTCGCCAGTCTCTGTGGCCGGCCTCTTCAGAGGACAGGAGTAGCACTCTGTGCTCTGGTGCAGTTTGTCTGGGAATTGAGTATTTATAGCTGTGGGATCAGCTTTTGTCCTTTTCAGGGGATGGGTGATTATGGGTACTCAAACGAAGGTGCTACTCCAGTCCTCAGAAGATGCCAGCCACAGAGACTGGCGAAACGTTAGGAAGAACAACCTTCAGAACACGGCCAAAGAGCCAGAAAAACCCACAACAACCATTAGATCACATCCGTGAAATCCTGTACTGGCCAGGATTTCTGGGAGTTGTAGTCCAAGACCATCTGGGGACCCAAAGTTGGGAACCACTCAATAAAACATGACGGGATAGCTCAGTGGTCTTAAGCATCTGGCTGGGGAGCTAGATTCCCCCACTGGGCTTCCTTGATGAGGGCTGGACCCGATGATCCAGACAGTCCCTTCCAACTGTACAGTTCTAAGAAGACAACGGTGATTATGATGAACCAAGGAGAAGAAGAAGACTTGTATACTGTAATAAAAACTCCCATTTTCCCTATTCCAGTCTACTTGCATTTTCCTGATAGAACCAGCAGAGGGGAGCATAAGATCTTACTTTCTGTTGGTTGAAGTTTGTTTGAATAACCAAGGCGGAGAACACCCAGTCCTGTTACTTGCCTATTCAAGATTTAGTCCTTACCCTGCTTCCCATTCAGCTGTTTTAAATGCGACTGTTTTACTTGCTTACTAAAATAGGTTCACATCGAACAATTCTAAGCTGCTTATTTCAACTTCTAATTGGCTATCATCCTCACCCACCAACTGCTTTAGTTTTAAATTTAAGAACATTTTAACATCTTCAGAGTTGCCTATCCACCCGTATATCAAAAGACATGTATATATATATTTCAAAATCAATCCTCATAATAAGCATTTTATAGGGTTACTGCATACCCAGTGTGGTGTAGTAGATAGTGTGACAGATTAGGACTCAGGAGGCCTGTGTTCGAATCCCCACTCAGCCATGGAAACTG